AAACGCCTGATGGGCAAGTTAATCCTCCTCTGCATATACTTAGTCGATACTCAGCGGCACAAGAGTCAAGTTGTTCTTTTATTCTGACTCACATCAGAAAACAACGGATATTTTTTCAAGTAGTCATCTCGATCGACTGAAAATTCTTTATATAACATTCAAAAGTTTATGTGAAATTGGCCATTCATGAGAAGAGAGAAATTCCTCAGGCTAAATCTCAAGGTATCTGTAGCATGAAGATTTTTGAAGCACGATCCTATAAATACACTGATTTGGCAGCTAGCCATATTTTCCCGGTTACAGTGGACTGATGACGTCACCGATCGCACGCCAGATTGTCATGCACTGCGGTCCCGTCCTCACCATTATATTCTACTGAAATGGCTTTACTGGTATCGATATATTTCAGAGAGAAACTATCCGCTTTCGACCAACCTTTTTCAAAATTAAACGGACCTATTGTCACTTGCAGGACAAAGCAGACATTCCATGTTTGTTAAGCAACTGGATATTATCCAGTCCGATGGCATAGTTGTCTTGTAGTTCATCAGCTACGAAGTGAATCTGAATTGACCTTGTGGTGTGGAGATGGCGCAAAACAAGTTTTGGGAGAGGTCACCTCCAGGGAGAGGTTCGTACTGACACAATCCAACCCATCTACCCATCTTCAGTATGAATGTTGAATTCTCGTTCACACTAGACTGCCAAAGTGAGAAGATCTCCTATCCTTCAGCATAACTACCTCTTTTACAGCTTCGACCCAGAAGTTGGACTTGACCTACCTTGTTACCTCCTTTACCCTCTTCCCGCCCCACCACATTTTCAGTTCAACCACGACTTTGGCCCTTGACACAGTGCCGAGACAATATGTTCTTAAAAAGAGAATCCCAGATATGAACTTACTGCATGTGTAGTAGTTGACAACGGAATATAATAGTTCTTCCACCTTCGAGCCTTGTTATCTATGCTGCTCCCTTTTATGGTGAGTGCGCAATTGGTCACAGTGTTGAGGCACACCTGCAGGCGCCCTTTTATCCCTGAAACGATAATTGCGTCTCAGTTTTTGTGGACTTTTACAAAAATAGGCGCGGTTTAAGAGAGGGAGGGGGCATTTCGCACTTTTGCTACTTCTCATGGACATGTCGAGCCATTTAGGGAGCTATTTCATGAGCTCACAAGAGTTGACAGGTTTTGCCATGGTGGCTCGATGAGCTTGCTCCAGCTTCACAAGTGTTCACAGGTTTCACCAGAGTGGGACTTGTAAACCGAAAAGAGTGGAGCAGCTAAAATGCTAAATGCTCTCCCTCCCCCCGTCGTCGAACAGCGCTCAAAAAATCTCTTTCGTTCACCTGCTTGATAGACAAAAAAGTCGAGACGAGCTGCTTCCTTAAGTTCCAGAGGGACTTTTGTGGACAGAATAAATGTTTCTTGTGGCGTGACGGTCGTACCACCGGCGTAGATAAATGAGCCGGCTGAAAAGAGACTATGGGTTACCAGCAGGGGGCAAAGTTGGTTGGGAGGCCGCGCGGCGGCGCCGATCGTGTCACGCCTTGTCCTTACCTAGCCCCTCTGTCACGAAATGAGATACGACGCTCCTAGGCCCTTTTACCTT